GGTTATTATTTTAAATTCATTTATGGTCCGAGTAAGATGATAAAAAAAAAATAATAAATAATAATAATAATAATAATAATCATCGTAAAATATTTATAAATGGAAAAAAAAAAAAATCAAGTATTTTTTTAAATGATTAAAATTATTTTTGTCATTTTTAAAATAATTATAAAATATATTTTTAATAACTCAAAACCAATATTAATAGTATAAAGATTAATTTTGGATGATTAAATCCAAATTTAGGAGCCAATTTAAATCCTATAAAAATAATTTTAAATATTTTGATTTATGTCCTTTCCATTCACTTTATAAAATCACATTCTAATTTATGTGTGGAGGAAGGGTTTCGTGTTCCATTTTGAGAGGTCTCCCAAAACCAAACGTTTTACTTGTAGATTCTTCCCATTATATGGCTTGTACTTCTCGGTTGAATTTTTTTTAATGCATATCCGTTTGAACTTCTATTATGAGATCTCACGTCGGTTAGAGATGGAAGAATGATTTTTTTTTTTTTTTTTATAAGAATATGAAAACCTCTCTATAACCGACATATTTTAAAACTGTGAGACTAACGACAATAAGTAATGGGTCAAAATGGATCATGTTTACTAGTAGTAACTTGGATTGTAACAAATGGTATCAGAGCTAGACATCGAGTGATGTGTCAACGAGAACACTAGCTCCCAAGAGTAGGAACATAGCATTTCTTATAAGGTAGTGGACTTAAATTTCTTGTTTTTTTTTGTCGATTTTTACTCAGACCTGTAAAATTGTCTAAATGTTAGACCGGGTTTAATGCCTTTATCTTATAATTTAGATCCAATAATTTGGTTAGTGTGGTGGGTGAGTTTAAACCAATAATGTGGGAGGCTAGGTGGAGTGAATAAGACAGTCGTCAACAACACTATTTGAATTGGCATAAATATTTTGATTGAGTTGTTCAGATTGTTTAGGTCATTCATTAAAAAAAAATTATAATAAAAATAAAATATTAGTTCATAAAATATTTATTTATTTTTTAAATAATTAATTAAGACTTATCATTCAATTTTAAAATATTTTGAAAAATCTTTTAAAATTGTTAAAAAAATATTTTTAAGGGATTTTGGAAAATAATAAAAAATAAATAAATAAATTATTTTTACGGCAAAAATGTATTTTTTAAAATTAATAATTGGTTACTTCCTTCTTTTTAGATAAGCTTAAGAAAGAATAAAAAAAATTGAAAATGATAGCTTGAAAAAGCTATTCATCCAAGTTTGTTATTAGTCTTTACCACAATCACCTCTTTATTCGTTCTACCTTACCAGTCTAATCCTAAAAAAGCTTTTTGTTTGGTAGAGTTTTCATTATATAGTCTAACACTGTTAAAATATTGTCTGCTTTTAACACTCATCATCAGCATTTTAAAGCGCTACTAGAGAAATGTTTTCACACTCTTGTAAATAATGCTTTATTTCCCTCTCCCCAAACTAATATAAGATCTCACCATCTCACAATCTACAACGTTCTTTTTGGCACACACAAGCCGGTGCAGATTTCATCTAGAAATTTTCAAAACTTTTTCGTTTTTCTGAGAAAGAAATAATAGATGAAAATTTTATTTATTTTTTCTTTTTTATAATAACTTCGAAATAATGAGTGATTTTCAATTCTTTTAAACATTTATTAGTTATCTATTTTTGGATCACTCTCGTTCCCATGTGTTCTTGGTTCATTCATATACTTTTTTTATTTAGTGTCACATGTTCGTTAACTTCCGCCTTAATTCGTCCCTAAACTACATTTTACTCGGAGTTATACAGTTGATACCATTTATATCGTCTTAATTCAACACCTGATGATTCTCTCTTGCAGTATGATCATGATCAAATGATCAGTAATGTTTACCAATTTTGTCTCAATATTGTAAAATCATTAAATTTCTTACGTTAGAATTTCAAATATATATATTTTTTTTGTGATTCTAAAAATCAATATTTCATTAAGATTTTATAAATAATCTTAAAAAAATATAGAAATTAAATTTATATTTTATCCTTAATTAAGGATTAAAATAGACTTTTTTTTAATGAAATAATTCAATAATTACTTTTTGCTATTTGATAATTATTAAAAACATTGCATCGATTAGGATTCAATGAACTATTAGAAATTATTGAGTGGTTTTGTTGTTGTTCTAATAATTTTTTTATTTATTTATAAAAATAATGGTTTTTTTATAAAATGTTTCTAGATAATTAAAAAAAAAATAATTATTCTCAAATTGATCTCGATCTTTTGTATATTATTTTTGCCATATTAAATTTTTTTTGTTATATTTAAAATCATTTAATTTTACGCTTATATCATATTTTTTTAATAATTAAAAAAAAGTAAAATAATTATAAAAAATTACCTTTCCATATTTTTCCTTTTATATTATTTTAAGACTGGAAATGGGCCTTTCTCAGCCCACAAAGAGAGATTCCTTGGGCTTGATTTTTGTTTTGGATCTTAAAAATCATAATAAATTGATTATAAATATTAAAAGAAAAACAATGCATCCGGATAAAATTTCCAAAATAAAATACCAATAAAATATATTTTTGGCTATAAATATTTTTAATTCTAATTATTATCGACCTATAATTTTTTTAATTATGAGATATAATATTTTAAATTTAAATATTATGGTATTAGATTTTAATGTTAACATATTCGAAACAATTTAGGAGATCATTAGACCATTTTTTAAAATTTAAAATTTTCATACGAAACTCGTAATGTACTAATCTCGATAATAAGGGAAAAACATTTATGATAACGACATCATGGATGGTCGGGAAAACTAATTACTAAAACTTTCAAAGAATCGAAGTCTTATTAAATTCACGCTACTTATAGGCTTACAACAAAATTAGAAATACCTAATTTAATTCAAATTACTAATTATATATAATATAATATTCCAAGTCATAGGTCCATATATATATATATATACTGATAAGTCAACCTAAGTCAAAGGGATGAAAATTCCTATTTTAACCCTGGATTTTGACTTCTTAAATGGAATGATATAAAAGAAGGAAGAAAGTTTGGTGGAGATGGGAGACGGGCAGACGGGCAGCTGTTAGGGTAAGGGATTAGGGTTAGGGTTAGGGTTCGGGCAGGTAGTGGAAAGTGTGGAGACGGAGGGAGCAGCGTACCCAACCAATGGAACTATAAATGATGTTTGTAGCCTTTTGGGTAAAACGACAACGCTTCCTTTTTTACTGTCTCCCTTTTAGTTATGATATGACGTTTAATTATATTCCCTCTCTCTCTCTCTCTCTCCTCCTTTGTTTATTTATTTATTTTTGCATTATTTGAGTTTGAAACATTGCATCAAATTTTCCCTAAATTAATTATCAACTTTAAAAAATATATATTTAAAAGTTTAGAGATAATTTACTTAATATACTGATGGTAAAAAAATTTAACTTTTTATTACGGTGAATGGTGTTAATGATACTTTTAAAATTTAATCGGTATTTTTTTAATATGTATTACCAATAAAAATATTTTAAATTTTTTTTAGGTGGTTGAAAAGGTATTGATAATTATTTCTAAAGTTCAATATTTTTAAACTTTTATTTAGGGTATTTTTGAAACAAAATAACGGTTTTTCATCCAAAACTAATAAAAAAGTTATTTTTTAGAGTTATTATTTTTTTTTTTTTGTAGGAGCATTTTTATTTAATTAGCATTTTCATTTATATTTTAATAATCATTTAATTTTTGAAAATTATAATATTTATTTATTAATTTAAATATATATTTTTCAAAATAAATTATTTTTATAATTTTTCAAAAATATTTATGGATATCAACATTTTATCAATATTTTCATTAACATGTCCATAATTTTGAGATTTACCTGACGACTTTGTATTTAATTTTACAAACTTGATGTACACGAATAAAGAAATAAATGAGATTTAGCCTATCGTATCTAATACCTAATAAAGAACAACTCATTTAATAAACGATATTATGATATGAATCTCACCGTACAAATTGCAAAAATTAGTAATTTCAAACCTAATTTAATAAATAAATAAATAAATAAATTCTATTATTAACTTACACATTATTTGACTTAAAAATTAAGTTTAAATTGCATTTTGGTCCTTAAATTATTAAAGTTATTATATTTCGGTCTCTAATTTTTCAAATATCTATTTTAGTCCCTAATAGTCAAATTTTGAACCTTTTGTGGTTAATTATGGAATGGGAACATTCCTTTATAAAAGAAGAAAAAAAAAAAAAAATAGAACCAAAGGTTTAGAGTCAGACGGAAGGGAATGTTTTCCATTACTTGTATTCTCACAGTTTGACCAATTTTTTTGAAATTCAACTGTTGGTCAACAGTAACCCAATCAGCCACCCATCAGTGGTTGAATAGATTTAAATATTAAAAAATAACACAAGACCACTCATTTTTATATTAATTAATTTCTTAAATAAAAATTAGAGATGTCCACAAGACCGAGCCTAACTAGAAAACTTTTCCGTCTCCATCCATTTAAGTTCTACATTTATTTTTGTAGAAATTAAATTTTTCGAGTAATTTCTCTAATTCATTATTAAAAAAATATAAGTATTTTAAAATTTTAATTTTTTAATATAATTTTTCTTAAAATTATTATATATATATATATATATATATATATATATATATATATATGATTTTATTGATTTTTAGTAACAGGGTTTAAATGTGGTAACAATTTTGTCTCTATCCATAAATAAATAAATAAATAAATATATATATATATATAAAAACTAAATCATCCGAACTTTAGTTATTATGGTTAGATGATATTAAGTTATTATGGTTAGATGAACATGACTCTCTACTCGTATGATATTGTTAAGTTAGAACATATTTACATGACCATTCTAGCCTAGGTATTTCATCATCAACCATTAGGGAAAAAATTATTTTAACACAAAAAAACATACAGAAAAAGCAATTACAGAAAAAAAAGAGAGAATCAACCCATTGAAGAAGCAAATGCTACATTACAGTTGAAGGTTAAGGACTCTAGAAATCATAAAGCTAAAAAAAAAGGCTATTCCAATATATGAGAATTTCAGGCATAAACAGATCCATAAGAAAGAGCCATTAGTAAAACAGCAGCTTGTTCTTCCTCACCCAACTGTCTCCTTTGCATTAAATCTTTTCTACCAAACGCTGTTGATCTCCATTTCAAGCTATCTCCGCCCAATTTTGCTTGATTTCCACCGCCATTACTGTTTCTGTTACTGCTCCCCTTGCTTTTTCTCTCCGCTTCGCTTCCTCTGTTTAAACCTAGAAGCGATCTTCTCTTTTTCCTGCTTCTGATCCCACACGCATTGCAAAGAGACTGAAAAAAAAAAAAAAAAAAAGGAAAAATGAAGCTCTGATCGTAGTAATCGAGTAACAGAAATGAAGAACTAAACAAAAGATTCGAACAAATAGAGAGATGGAGATGAACAAATCACCTTAGGGCCGGCTGGACCTCCACGCCAGAGAGGAGTCTTCGTCGTACCGCAATCGGCGCAGGTTTTCTTATTCTGCTCACTTTCCGCTGGCGAAGACATCCTCGAAGAGTTTTCGGCGTCCTTGAACTCCGATCCCTATTTTCCAGTACAGTACAGTAGAATCAGTACTCTTTAATTTCAAGATCAGAAATAAAATCAACTCAAGAACAGGCTCGAGAATCGCGATCACTCACTTCCTCCATCGGATCCATCATTCTCAGTAGAAATCTCAGAGATCTGAGATGAAACGAGAAAATAAGCACGGAAACTCGAAGTGGAAAGTGGATATTGACGATTGAAAGCGGTGGAGACGAATTGGAGTCATAAAATCGAATTCGAACGAAGTAAATGATAGCTTGAACAGAAGATCAGACGAACAAAGGCAGTCGACAATCAATACTGGAACAGAAAATGTGATGAACAGAAACTACTACAACAGTGAAAAAGGAGATAATCGAAATCTGCAAGACGAAAAAGATGAAACCGACATGCAGGGAGAGAGAGAAAGAACAGAGTGAGAACAATCAGTGACACGAAGAAAGAGAGAAGAAGAAGATCGAGATCAGGAAGAAGATGATGATGAAGAATCGAACCGACAGAAGCTCGCGGTTTAGCAGCCGCTTTAGGTTAGAAAAAAACCGACTTAATATACAACCGGA